TGGCATTAGAGTAAGTGATGTAGAAACAGTGTATTGGAAACATTGTGAAAGTCCCTTCGCCCAACCACTTAGTTAACTAACCACATGATGCTGAGATTTGTTCAGATGCTCCCCTTTGGTTTCCTGATTATTCAGTAAGTTTAATAATGAAGAACATACCAGTGATTGTAATCGCATCTATTTTTAAAAGCAGCTAACCCCAAACCCTCCCTTGCATTTTTTCTGTCTTCTCGTGTGTTGCTGCTTTCTGCTTCTCTCTTCCTCCTCAGTTTTCCTTCCGTGTATTTATAGTTACACCATGGTTTATCGTATGGTGAATTCCCAGATACTGTGATTTTGCATCACATCTTTAGCTGCTCCTAAGACCTGTCCTGCGTGTGCCTGTCAGTCATCTCTCCAGAGGTCCAGAGATGAGTTAGATCTTGAGAACAGAAGATGACTTGAGCCAAGAATTGTAGGTTGTTGCTAAAAGTGGGTGTGCATCAGCAAAACCAGTAAGGTTAGCGAATGTGTGCCAGCATAAATTAAGTCCTGCCTGCACTGAAATAGTTAAGCCTTACTTGCCAGGCTCTTATGAGAAGTGATCCACTTGAGTCAGCACAAGCCCCCTGTAGTAAGCTCATTTAAGCAGATTTAACTGTTTTTACACACACTCTTATTGGTGAGAGGGACATTCCCACTGCTGGAGTAGGCTCAGCAAGACCTCTGCTCTGTTAACAACTACAGCCAAGAAGCAAAGGGGATAGTGAGATGCAGTGGGAACAAGAGGGAGCACGCTCTGCCAAGGTTGTAAAGCCATAATATCCGTATTCTGTGTGGATCGCCCTAGAGGGTACAGTTCAGCTCTCATAGCAGAGCTCTTCCTGCATGTGAAAAAACAAACTCGTAGCCACAGACAGATGTGAAAACATTCAGTGTGGAAGGCAAATAAATAGGAGGTGATAGAAGTCTCTTTAATAATGAGTAGGGTACAGAAATGGCTTTTATGCTTTCTCTGCCTTGTAACAGAGGGGATGTAATAATGACATTTGCTTTTTCTCTGTGCTGATAAGTCGATTTTGTGTGTGTGTGTGTCTTTTTAAGCAGCATGTATCTAAAACTGCAGTTTGGTATTGCAGCATTTGTGGAAGTTTAAAAAGAATTCAGCAACACTGTATGATATATGTTTGAGTGCGGATGTTAAGGTCTCCGTGGTTCGGTTTTAAGCTACTCTTTTTAATTATTAGGAATTAGTAATTGGCCTTTCTCCTAAAGTGTGTAGTCTCGATCAGTTAGAGCAAGAACAGTATATTTAAGGGATCACAGATGTCATTTGATATGCAAGTTCCTGTATTGTGACTTAATTAAATAATTCATTATTACTGACTTAATTAAAGCAGTGTTTATTCAGTGACTTTGAGACATTCATTGTTTCAGTTCCATTTAAACTTTGGCAGCAAATGTACACTGCTGCTCTGTATATATAAATTATGATTTCATGTAGGTAATTTTAATTTATGAAATCCTACACTGACTTATAATGCAAGTTGCTATACTTCCAAATTTAATTTTAATGAAGTTTAGTTTTTTAAGAAATCGAATTTGACTTTTAAAACAAACACTTTTTATTAGAGGAATAAAGTCTTATTTTTATCAACCCTGATTTATTCTGCCTAGTTGTTCAGGTCTTGTGGTTGGTCATGAGTCCAGCTGCCAGGGGAGAAGGCAGTGAGAGCTAGGGCTGCGATGAGCCTAGTGGGCAAGGGGCAGGCAGCCTCTGTCAGCTCCCTGGCAGCTGAGGGTGTCATGGGCTTCGGCGTGAGCCAGGGCTTGCTGCCATCGTGATTTAGAGGGTGAAGGGCACAGCCATGGAAAAACAGTAGAGGAACTGTTTGTCCCTTTGGTTTGATTTGGCTCTTGAGGGCTTGCTGATTCCTTGACTTTTGCTGGATGCTCTGAATTAGCTGGGGTTAAAGAGCGGTTTAGCTTTCCAGACTATGCAAAGGAGTGTTTTCTTGCTCACTTGCTTTCCTCTCTTCATATACATGTGCAATTGCAATACTCAGCTTTTAAGAAAGGCCTGCTGCTTCCTGTAGCTTGGTTGACCTTGGAGAGTCAAACCCTCATGGACGTGCACTGCACTCTGTTCCTGCAGTGCACCAGCAGATCTGCGTGTCCTGTCAACTGCGCTGGTGCCAACCAGTGATGCTGGGAGTGCCTGAGTGTCACTTGGCAAAACTGTGGGGTTCCCATCCCATCCTGGGGCCTCCAGACCTTTTATATCTCCCAGCTGAGGCACAGCAGAAAAGAGCATGGTTTATTGCAGTTACAGAGAGCAGGAATGGCATTTGAAGGAAAAGGTATCTGGGGGCAAACTGAACGCATTTGATATAAAAATGATTGAGTGGCAATAAACTTTATAACAGCCTGCTTCAGCATGTGCTTTCTCTCCAGTGCTTGAGAGGAGGCTTTGGAGTGTGGCTGTCTGTGTCTTTCATTGCTTCAGTGTAGATTTTGCAGTTATGCTAGCCCTGAAAACCCGTAGAACGTGACACCCATTCCCAGTATTTATCAGTATCTCTCATTTGTAGTTTAATACCTCTCTTTTAGGGCTCTTGTTTTAGTCAGTTCCAGCGGACGATAGCTAGCATCAGTTATCAGCAATATTACTGTGGTTTGGAATGGTGCTGGTTATGTTGAATAATATTAGGCAAACCGATATTTTTTTCCTTAAGGGACACAAATCATGCTTGTCTCCCAAGTGAGCTGATGGCTTGGCAGGGTGAAAGGATGAATAAAAATGGCCTTCCAAGTGCGTGCAAGTTGACAGCCCGAAAGGTGATTTTCTTGACTCATGTACTTCAGGTTGCTGGGTTTTACATATGGCAAGTCTCCAGAACAAATATTGCTTTTGGAAAACCTAATCAAATTCTGCCATAAGAGTTAAGTTACTGAGTGTCAGGCCTCAAATGATATGCTTGATTTAGCCTTCTCTGGAGTTCAAAAATTGTAAATTTTATCAGCAGTGGTTTTATGGAAAAATGCAAAGCAAAAGTTGAAACTTTCTTAGGAGCAAACTTGGGCACTAGGGCTCCTCGACAGAGTGAATTCGGCATAGAAATATAATCTGTTCTGTGTTTTTTAAAAGATTGCCTTCATTTCCTCAGGAATGGTTTGAAGGGAAGCTGTCACCCCACGTCATATCATTGTTCTGTTACATTACAAGCCTGTTGTAGCATCATGTGCTGATATTGAAATTTGTATTATTTGTAGGGTCACAGTTTGAGATCCCTTTAATGGAAATGAAGTATTACAAGGAATTTAACAAAAGAGGAGAGAAAATGTAAATTGGGTCATTTAACTTCTAACTGAGGGTCTTTGGCTGGTGAGAAGAGACATTTTAATACAAAAATTGGACCACATTTGCTCTGTGGGCTCCATATTAGGAAAAAAAAATTGAGTTACTAGTTCACTGACTCCTCCCCAGGAAAAAAGGAATCCATGCTTCTGCTTTGTAGGGGATATTTTTAAAACAGCATACAAAATCTACAGCATGTGGTCACCATATAGCTGCTTCTGACTTCAAACTAAGAGAAATTCGTTGTTGTTCAAGATATAAGATATAAGCAAACTTTGATTGTGGGGAATGAGCATTTGGCTGTGGCTGTGCCTGAGGTTCTGGTACAGCAGCTCATTGGAGGGGTCTTCTTCCTCAGTGTCTATTTGGAGCTGAGCTTGGTTGAATGCTTGGTTGTGCAATGAGTAAGTACTGATGGTGCTGAACGGTGATTTTCCTGAAAACAGAGGTCTGAAATGGTGTAGCACTGATATAGCGCTGGTGTAAATTCTTGAACTGCTTAGTAAGCATTTTCAGTGTAGTACTATTACAGGCTTTACTGGGCTCGTCTTGGAAGGGGTAGCCGCTCCCCACCCCCCTTCCTACCCCCTCCCCCTTTTCTTTTGCAGTTATTGAAAGGGAGACTGAAATAGCTAAGGGAGGGAGAGAAGTCCTACCAGCATTTCTCTGAGGAAATAAAGCTGTGAAACAGCGCCTTGTTATGCCATTTGCAAAACTATTTGGGTGGAGAGATGGGAAAGCATTCTCCCGGATAAAATTGCAGCTCCTCTGGTAATAAGCTCTTAAAACATCTAGTAAATAGTGAGCTGATAAAATTGTTTCCTCCTTCTCAACCCAAAGCCTGCTGAATAATATGTTACTATTTTAATTCTTCCCTAAGTATAAGCAGTTTCATTTCTGTCTGCTGTTATTTGTAAGAGTCATATTATATTGTAGTTGCTTGGTTGAGTAGAATACGCAAAATTTGTTAGACATTATGCTTTTATAGGTCCAGTGCTTCTTCCATCTGTGTGACTTTGGGATGCCATTTGCTGTAATATTGCTTTGGGAAAGAAAAGGTGCAAAAGGGGAGGCAGCTGTGACTTGTGTACCTTTGCTGCCCTGGCTACTTTTTCTGGCAGTCTGGAGTTCTTGTAGATGAGCGACACTTGGCCAGAAGAACTGGAGTTGAGAAACGGACGTTTGATGTTCTCCCCTTTGGATTTAGAATTTCTTTTAAAGGATCATAAATTGCAGTAGTTGGAAGCCAGCAGAATGAAGAGCTAGATGATGACAAGTTGGACCAGATGGTTTAATTTTATATCAATCCACAGATAAATGCAAAAGACTCTTTATCTATGCCAGTCAATAGGAGTTCTGTAAAACAAGGATAAATTTGAATAAACTGTGTCCCTTTTTTGAATGTGACAAGATTATAAATACTATTGCACCCATAGTGTGGTTATTTGAGGTTGGGGTTTTACGGTTAATCAAATCAGAAACAGGCAGGTTTTTACTGAAGTACCTCTGTGCAAAGTCAATGTTGTCTGTAAATATCTTTGCAAGACGGTTGCTTTGGGCATCAGGTCTTTATTGTTAGTGTCACACCTGAATTTTTATAAAATCCGTTTGGCACTGGTAACACAAGCTTTTAATATTGTTTATTACTTTGTCACATTTGCAGGACTTCTCACTAATGGCCAATCTAAAGGATTAGGACCAGGATCAGAACAGCTGGAGAATGAGAAGGACGACGCATCGCAAGTGTCCTCAACGAGCAACGATGTTAGTTCTTCAGATTTTGAGGAAGGGCCCTCGAGGAAAAGGTCAGTAGTGCATTCTGATTAAAGTATAGCTTTTCTGCCCTGTCCTTTTTGTCTTACAGTGTTGTGATTATGTTTTTAGTAGGGTACGGTTGCACATACTGCCCTACCATAAACAGATTTTCCAGTGTGGATGCCTTCTAGTAACAGTGAGGATATAGCAAACTTTGCTTCACCCAGTGCTACAGATGGTTCTTGTTGTTGTTTTGGAAAGCATGGAAAGGCGGTTGTTATTTTGCAGTAGGTGAATGCTAATTTAAATGTCTTAGGACTCTCTCCCCTCCTGCCCTCACTCCTCCTCCCCTGGCTTTGACCTCTTGGGTCACGTCAACACATAATTTCAAGGAAATTATTTCAAGGAAAGCATCACTAAAGTAGTTAGCATTACTGTTGTTATTTTTAATTTTCAGTGAATGAAACCATGTGAAGTTAAGAAAGGGAAAAAAAATAAAATAAAAGAGATGCTTTCGAGAAGAGAAACTATGTAGTAAGGTGGTGTGGTGGGTATCAGTTGCAAAGGACTGCTTTGAGAAACTGCTGCACCAAACTACCTCCTCTTTCCTAGAAGTGACTGAATGTGTAAAATGTGGGTTAAAATCACAGGAGTCAAGCCAATCTATTAGAGAAAATATGCTGAGAATGCAGGAGGCTGGGAGTTGTCCTCTGGATGGAGTAAGAATGAAAACAGGCCGTCTGAAAAATGCCGTTTAAAAAAGAGAAACAGAAATGCTTTCTCAACCTTTTTCCTCCACACTCCTCACATCCTAGTCCCAAGCCATCAAATAAAGTTCTCTTTCAAACAAAAGAAGTGTTCCTGCTTTGTGTATGACCTTATGATTCCACTGAAAAGCCCAAGGGGGTGAGGACACTGGTACTTTCCGGGACACCCTCATGTTCCTGTTCCAGTGTTCTCCACCTCTGGTCTACACAATCTTTTCTATCTGTCCAGGCAACAAATTCAAAATCTAGTTAATATGCCCATCTGATCTTAGCTCATTTGGTGTATCAGAGTAAAATTTGTGTTATCTTCCATACCTGTAGAAATTTTGTGAGGCTTATTGCATTCTACTGCTGGTCAGGGCAAAAGATTGTGTGTGTTTATTTTGGGCTTTATGAGATACAACAGAGGATTGAAAATTATTTTTACTGAGCTATTTAGGTGACATCAACTGTAGGTGTGATCCTGGGAGACAGGAGTCATCATTCGATGACCACTGTTTGTTCCTTCTTAGGAATTTTCGGTGCCCTCTGCACTTGCTTTGTCCCCTTGTTCCTCGGCTGTGCTGACAGAATGGCATGCAAGGTCACACCATAAGTAGGTTCAAGGAGCTGGTTAGGATTAAAAATAATAGCAAGAGAGGATGAATTGAGGCTTTTTGCCTGGGTTCTTTATTGTTAACCTGCATGAAGCTTTGATCTCTTGTTCACAGTGTGGTTGTAGGAGCAGCTGCCAGTGCAACCAGGGGAACATCCCCTTCCTCTCTTGGGGCTGGCAAGGGGCAGGAGGGCTTGTGCCTTATGCTGTACCTGCTTCTGGTGCCCTGCACAGTCCAGCTTCAGAAATGAGTGGTATTGCTAATTCACCAGTCTCCTGGTGAAGAAACTGCAGAAACTGCATTTGAATATTCTGGGTGAAATATTTTTTTGAGGAGTATTTGCTAGATTTGGGATGAGGGAATTCAGACCTCTGAGAAACAGCCTGGTGGTTCAGGCATAATAACAGGGAACTCAGTGCCTTTAGTATTTTTCAGGTTAAAAACAAAAAACCAGAAAAAATCAGGTCCAACACAGAACCCAAGATGAAAACTATTTTTCTGGCTTTTGTGGAAGGCTGGGTATCATTTCACTACTTCTTCATGCATCATGAACTGTTGAAATAATATTACGGTTGTTACTGCAGTTGCTGTGAAGGCGAATGTTCTTGTTTCGTTTCCATTTACACCCAACACAGACTTTTATCTAATTTTTTCCTCCCTCAGCTTCCTCTTTGCAGACAGACCTTTTCTGGGCTCCTTCTCTTAAACTGTACTGAAGCATGTTGAGTGTTTTGATACCATCTTCTTGTTCGCTTTTAGGCTTTTTGTTTTGTTTATCTGAATATGTCATGTTTCTTCAATCCATGTCATTTTGGGATCCCAGAAAGAGTTGTGTCAGGAATACTGGGTGAACAAAGGACACACAGGAAGATGAGGAGAGGGGGAACAGGACTGAAGTGGAATTTATGGGTTCACTGCCTCAGCTTATGAAGTTTTGAGAAGTGTGCCCTCCTTGTCTTTTCCCCAGGCTTTCTCAAAATCAGACTTTTCAATTGTCTGATCAGCTGTGTGTACAAGTAATGACACTCTTGTACTAAGATACACATTTAAAGACTGTAGCTTTAGCGTGTACTCTGAACGGACCATTACATATAAGTTACTATTGCGTTCTTTATGGCTTGCAGGGGATGAGGAGGTGTTGGTGCATGGCAGTGGCAGTCTTTTGGTCTTCTAGTCATCCTCTAGAGGAATGGGAGGGTCACCTATCACACTAGTGATGGAAACCAGAAGAGAAAGAAACTAAGAAACTAAGCGCAGTAAATAAGGAAGTCTGTTTTAAGGGATCCCGTTTTGTTTAGTGGTTTAAGGCTCTGGTTTGACCTTTCAGTTCTTCAGTGTAATGGAAGGCTGCTACCATGGGGGCAAACAGTCTCTTCCCAGTTTCTTCTTCCCACCTCTTCCCATTTGTTGTGTCTAGAAGTCTTTTGGCCCCAGGTCCATCAGTTCACTGGACTGATCTGGCAGCATTTCTTCCCTTTGCCCAGAGCAGGTCACACTGTATAAAGGGAATAGGGAGATAGATTCATGCATGTGTGCAGCATGTGTGTGTTTTTAATTTCCATTTACAGTTGATCCAAACTCCTCCAGTTTCAGAGACAATTTGCATGAGAGCCTGCATGAACAGCAAGAGCCAGTTCTTGGAGCAGACTGAGTGGAGGGTGAATTTGCTAGCAGTTACCATGGCCTTCTGGTCTCACTGTGCCAGTCATCTCTGGTGTAGATTTTCCTTGGGTCAAAACTAGGTGGTGGATGCTCCCAGTGAGTTATTGGTCAGAGGACTTGACTGTAGGTAGGTAGATGCTGACAGGCATTTGTGGGGGAAGGTAAATCCCTTTCACCCTTTGACCAGTGAAGAGATTACTGGTGGGTATTCCTGATAGTACTGATGGGTATTTCACATATGTATGCTGAACAGAGTAACACAACAGTAGAACCCCCAACCAAGCCCAGCTTAAGGTTAATCATATCTGGTTTTTTTCCAGTTTCAACGCCTTTTCTAGTAATATAATATGACTGAAGATCTGCACATGCCATAAAGAGGGCATCATGGTGGAAGTAAAGAGATTGCTGTTCTGGTGAAAGTATACAGATTTAATATAATACTCCAGATTTTGTTCAGCAAGTCACTTAGATACTTTGTTTGATGGACTAGGCTTTTGAATTCAGCGTCCTGACATTGTTAGGCTTCAGCTGGTTTCAACTAGTTGGTGGGTAGTCAGCAATTAACACCTTTGCTCTCTGGGGATTGGAGGAAGTTTCCCACACAGCCAGTTTTGGAGCCGATGTAGAAAGTTCCATCTCCATTTTTTTTTGAAGTGTATTGTTTTCTATTGCAGCAGTAATCTGGAACAGTTCTAAAGGTATGCAACCTGCCTTCTGTGGTGCTGCAGGTTTCAGCTGTTGGTGGGGGTAAGGAGGAAAAGGAGTTTGTGTATAGCTTTGCCTCTGCACAGTCTCCATACAAGTCCAGGAATTGTAAGCCCTACTTACAGAGTAAGTGGGATTTGGGGAGGATTGGCAATGGCAGTAATGGCAAGCTCAGTACTTCAAGGTACTTAAATTTGTTTGAGTTTACACTTGAAGGATGGAAAATACTTGCTTTGATCTGAGCTGTGTGTATTACAAGTGATCAGGTCTGAGGGGAAGCAGTGGGTTAATCCTGAGTTGTACAGCTTTCAGCCAGTAAAGGTGAAAGGTGTCAGCATTATTCTAACATTTGGCAAAAGCTAAGCATTCAGATCTTACACTGAATCTGTTGTGCAATGCGTTGCTGTCTAGTTGCCATGTAAGTGAGAGCAGTTGATTGTACATTTTCAAAACCTATTAAAAAAGGTAGTTGCTGAAGGAGGAGTGTAACTTCCATGTAGCTGCATGTTTTTGTTGTGGATCTCCAGTTTCCAGCTGTGATTCTCAGTTGAGAAGATCAGTAGGTAACTGGCCAAAAGTGTTTGGTCACTCTGCTGCGTGCTTGTGCATTTTTATGGGCAACTCTTAAGACTACATTTGCTGGCAATTAATAACAGTGTCCAGAGACAGCTGTATGTTTTCTAGCAACAAGTTGCCCACATTACCCAAGAAGGGACACGTGCAGAGCAGACTTGGTGTGACAGTAAGTTGATCTTTGGTGATAATAGGCTATTGCTTGCTTCCTGTTACTAGTCAGGTGGGTACTCATTTACGTGGCTCCCTTCCCAGAAATGCACACAGGGAATTGCCAAATGCACAATTTTTTTTATTGTAAAGTTGTGTTAATAGAAGGCTGTGAGAAGTGGAAGGAGGCTGAATGATTTTAGTTAACTGTTTAAGCTTTAAATTTATGTGGTTTTAATTTAATGTTAGAATATTCTTTCCACTAAGGGGGGGGGGAGGGGAAGACATTGGTTTAGTTTAGGAGCAAAATAAGGTTTGAGGAATTTTCCCCCATTGCAGTAGCAGCAGAGTGGATGGACACTGTCCCCTGGCTGTGCGTAGCTCCTTGAAGAGGACACTTCGTCCAGTTCTGCTACAGGGAAAGTTGTTGGCTGCAGGAGAAAGGAACAACCCACTGTAGAGTAGTAGTGTTTTAAGCTGCCACAGCTAGGCTGGCCAGAAATTGCTTATTAGGAACCTTCTGGGGCCTTTAATTAATACAGCAGCTTTCTGCTAACGGTCTCAAGCATGTGACAATCAGAAGTGCGATTGTGCGAT